CAAATAAAAATGTGCTATAGGGAAAAAACAATGGGTGAGTTTATTTTATGGAAAAAATGTGCATTTATGAGGGATTTTAGGAGTCATATCACTCCTGTGAAATTGTGACCTACAGGGAGAACGATTGCTTTAAGCCACTTCTTGCAATGCTCCTTTTTATGGAATATACAGTGCTTCCAATTTTCATTTTATATTTCCTAGTTTCTGAACAACCCCTCACTTTCAAAACTAAACTCCCTACCATCCTCTCTCCTCCTAAATCCACTCAAAGCTGCTCTTTATCATGACATCTACATCTGCTAACAGCATTACTATCCTTCCGAAAACTTGTCTTAGGCCCAGACTTAACCCAGTTCCCAAGTTGAATGTCGACATTTTCCAAATCTGTATCCTTCATGATAGTCATTACTTCTAGCCTGAACTACTATAATTAAACATGGTACTTGTACCTCAGGCTTCTACTCCTCCACTGGACCTCTGTTCCCAGATTAATTCCCACAAAGTGGGGATTCTTCTCAACAAAAATCATATTCAAAAAATTCTTAGTTTGGGGGCCAGCAGGTGGCGTGGTGGTTAAGGCGCCGAACACTCCGACATGGCCGACCACGGTTCCAGTCCCAGACATGGTGGCTTGCTTTCTTTCTCTCTCTCTTCTCTCTCTCTCTCTCTCTCTCTCTCTCTCTCTTCCTCTCTGTCTATCCTCTCTGGTTAAATTAAAATAAATAAATGAATACATTAAGAATTGAATAAATAATTCTTTAAAAAACATTCTTAGTTTGTCACTTAAGGACCTCCGTAATCTGAATCCTTCTATCTTTATCAGCCTGTTCTCAAGCATACAACTTTGGTGAATGCTCTGTGCTTTTTCCACCTCTATTTCCACCTGTTTGTCTGGGTAGCATCCTTATCTGGTGCTATTTTTCTTCTCCACCTTCTCCAATTGCTAACAAGAATGGCCACATCCTTTATGAAAGAGCGAAGGCTGAGGCACATCATTCACTGGACATACATTCTATCTAATGCTTTACAAATTATCCTGAGTCCCATAAAAATACTATGAGGAAGAATGTAAGGAAACCAAAGAGAAATTTACCCAGAGATCACCAGGAAGTAAGAATTCAGAATAGTTCCATAGCATTTTTTTAAAGAATTATTTATTATCATTTTTTCGAATTTTGACCAGAGAGAAAGAACACAAGTTGCCAGATCTGAGACTTGAACTGCGGTCTGCCACGTGGGAGTCCAGAGCCTTTAACTACCATACCATCTGCCAGTCCCATCCCATAGTATTTTTAACAAAACACAACACAAGAGGGACAGTCAGGTTATCTGGATTCAAATTCTAGCTACTCTACTAACTACCTGTGTGAATTCACCAAATTATGTGTCTCTGATGCCTGTTACCCACCTATAAAAAGGAGATAATTGCACTACCACATCAATGATCATGAGAATTACAGGAAGTCATATAAAGTGCTTAGAACTGTATTTGGTCCACTGTAACTAATGTTAGCTAATTACTGTTTTGTTGTTACTTGCTTTTATTTCTTTCATGACAATGCAAGACAGAGTGCAAGGGCTGGGGGCAGGGAGGGAGAGAGGGAGAGAGAGAGAAAGAGAGAAATACCCCCAACAGTTTCACACTGCGATCCACACTAGCCCTCTCACCCAGCCAGGATCAAGGGTGTGTGGGCCTGAACTGGACCGGCTGTCAGGGAATCAAATTTGCAATCTTCCACATGGATCCGGCCTCACTTGAGCAATGTTTCACCACTGCACCAAGAACCCCAGTTATTTATATGCGGTGATACATGAATTTTGACCACACAAATCATATGCTCTCCTTGTTCCCAAGTCAGCTTTCGAGCAATGTAAAAGCTTCATAAAATACTATTTTTGAAACATACTCTATATATCTGCAGACTACATGAATGTTTAAACAATTCACCACCAGGCTTTATTAAGAGGAATTCACTTGTCTACCAATTCTGTTTCCTCTTCTGAGAAAACTAACAAAGCCTACCAACTTTCTTCCTCTTTTTATGTCATGTGAAACTACCATATGCAATGCCATATGGTAGTTACATGTCAAATGAATGGTGCAAAACATTATTCTGATTCAAACTCATTTTGCCTTGTGCTAAACATTAATCCCCAGATTCTAAACTGTCCAATAAACAGCTTTTTGAATGTAAAAGCCATCTATTTTTAGATCACACCACCATGAAGTAAGCATATCATATTTGGCCTAGCCACTTCATTTCATACATTTTTATGGCAAGAGCTATAAGGTAATCCTTCCTTATCCATCAGGTACGTTCTAAGACCACTAGTACTGAACTCTATGTATACTATGTTTTTCTATGTATACATAGCTGTGATAAAGTTCACTTTATAAATAAGGCATAAGAAGATTAACAATAATATGAAATGTATAATGCTATACTGTAATTAAAGTTCTGTGAATGTGGTCTCTCTAAATACTATACTCACTATAAGTAGACTTCAAAAAGCTGGTGGGAAAAATGGAATTAAAATGAGAGTTTATTTTAGTGCAAAACAATTTGAAATCCATGCATAGTTTTTCATAATACACATTTCCCATGAGCTTTTTGAAGACTCCTGTATTTTCGGACCACAGTTGTCTGCAAGTAACCAAAACAGAGGAAAGCAAAACCACGAACAGCAGAGACTACTACAAGACATAAAAATGCTTCCTATCTAACCTAACTCAGACATAAACCTACCTCTATAGTCATACCTCTGGTCCAACCCTCACTTTCCTAAATTAGAGCCAAAAAATTTTCTGATCAATCAGTAACTCTGGGATGCAGAAAAATATCAAGAGAAGGAAGCTGAATGTAACAGTTTAGGTCCCTATAGAATGCTCGAGAGAAACAATCTTTAAACAAAAAATTTTCTGATCAATCAGTAACTCTGGGATGCAGAAAAATATCAAGAGAAGGAAGCTGAATGTTAGTAACAGTTTAGGTCCCTACAGAATGCTCGAGAGAAACGATCTTTAAACGAACAAGGAGATGAGAACTTACCCGAAATCTTTCAGTATTAAACCACTCAAATCAAGATTTTGTCCACACAATTTACATTACACATGAAGACAAGTCATCAAGCTACCTGACTCAAAGGCAGAAGTAATACATATCTATTAATGACAACTGTCATTCCTTACACACAAAGAAGGAGTTGTGCTCCTACCCAACCATCCTCAAAACAAAATAAACAAAAAAAAAATTTTTTTAACTGTTAGGGGGCACATGAGAGCCAAGGGTGGGCGGGGAGAGGGAGAAAGAGACCATGCATTCCTCAGTAGGGTGTGTCCTGCTGCAATCACTTCATTTCTCCATCTTGTAGGGATCTGGAGTGTGTGTCACACACACGTACAAACACACATAGCTTGCATGTTTTTCAAACTGCTGGGACTAGGACTCCAGCCTCAGCCAGTCATGTGGAATCCAGTTTCCTTAAGCCCTAGGCTAAGGGGCTGGCCCAACAAAAATAACTCTGAGGCTTACCATGTAACAGACACATTTTATTTCATTTAATCCTCACAATAACTCTTCACTCATTTAGAAACAAATGTCAAAGAATTACTAAGTGGCAAAACTAAACCTAGCCCAATCCCTGGATTCTTATTCTGAAACATTTGTAACACATTTTACACTTACATCATCCTCTGGATACAGGCATATTCAAAACAAAACAAAACAAAACTGAAACAAAAGCTTCATGAAATAATATTTACTCTTACTGAATAGATCGTCCTGGGATTTTTTTTTCTTCCTTTCTTCCTTCCTTTCTCTTTAATATTTATGTTGATGCTCTAAATTGATGCTAAAAAAAATCTATCAATAAATCTTTGTGGGTCCTGCATTACAACACTGCATTACATTTCTCACCTCCTGTTTAAACTTCTTTTTAAATGCTACCACAAGGCAGTTTTGTTACTTTGAAATAGAGTTAATCTCAACCAATTAAAAATGTCCTTAAATAGATTTGATCTTTGAAAGCCCTTCCTTAAATCTTGATCTGTTTCTCTACCAGCACTCTTTGGAAGCACACCCATCTCCTTTATTCATACTGTATCAAAACCTACAGATGTTCTCCTTGGAGAACAACTCATCCTTGTTAAACAGAATTCATTAGTTTTCACCGTTCCTACTGCATCACCAACGGATTATCAGCCTAGCAGGTTTGGGGCAACAGAGGACCTGAGCAGCTGCCCGCGGTGCTGAAACGATGGATGAATCGATAGTTTGGGAAATTTACTATTGCCGATTTAGGACAAAACTGAGGAATTTACCAAGAGCTGGCAGAGAACACTCAGTAGCTGCCACCAGAGTTGCCTAAGTGCTTCTGGGATGCTATCTCTCGGCTTCCGAGTCTGCCCACTCCCTCTCTCGGACAGTTCTTCCAACCATGCAGGTCAACTCCCGAAGCGTCCTGGCCGAGCTGCCGACTTTAAGAGGTCAGGGACGCGGTATCTAGCGCTAGGACGTGACGTCCCAACCTGCACTCTGAGCTTCCAGGGAGTGAAAAGGGGGATAGGACCAGGGAAAGAAAGGAAGGAAGTGACTGCCCCCTTTTACGTTCCAAAAACAAGAGTCCCCTTAACCAAAGTGAAGCGATTCGCGGAGGACTCTGCGGCCAGCGCTTCATCAAGACAAGCCTCCCGAGCATCCTCCGAGGCTCCTGCCGCCTAGCAAGGGAATGTGAGTAGCAATACGGATAATCCGACAACTTTAGACACATACCAATCCGCGGGATGCAATGCGGGGGGGACTCGGTCCTCTAAGGGCAGGCTTTCTTATTCCTTTTGCAGAAAGCTTACTCTACTCTGCGCCCCTCCGGGGGGACCAACAAGGACCCCGGCAGCTTGGCCGACTCGGAGCTCGAGGGCCAGCGACGGGGGTGTGTTCTCCCGGCCAGGCCCCGCGGAAGAACCCCGCCGCCTGGTCGCCGCGAAGCCGGACAGGTCTTACCTGGAAGCCCGGCTCCCAGAACACAAGCAGGCTGGCCGGCCGCGTCGCTGTGCAGAAACCCCTAGCCTGACTTCATGACTGCCTATCCGCACCGACCCCCACAGCCCGGAGTCGGAGCGGGGAAGACAACACCAGGACGAGACGGAAGTCCCGCCCCACGCGCCTCATTGGCCTCCACCCGAAGACAGAGGCAAGCCATTGGGCCACAGAGCTGCCTGTTAAGGCTCCTTCCCACTCTCACGCCGGGTCTCCGCTTGCTACTGCTCGGCTGGGAGAGATGCCCAGTTCTCGAGTCTCGTTCTTGACCGCGTGATCGGTCCTCGCTGGAAGAGCAGAGCAGGGCAGGGCAGGGCAGACTGGGGCGGGCTTCTGGGGAACTGGCGCGCGGCTGAAGAAGCCGCCCTTGCAAAGGGAGGAGGCGAGCTGGCGGAGGGGATGAGCTGTGGGCGCCTGCCACCGACCATGTGCTCGCAGCAGCGAGGCTGTGGGGTCTGAAGGGCGCGGGACCAAATGGCCAGAGCCTTTCCGCCTGATCCCCTCCGGCTGTTGCGCCAAAGTAATCACAAGCTGCCCCTGGGCCGGCCTGGCTTTGGCGCCGATGCGGCTCCTCCCAGCGTCACACTGTACCCGCTAAAGAGGGCCTCACCCCTCTGCACTGCATACCTGCTGAGGCAGCGGAGTGTGACACCAAAGCCGACCAACGCCCTAGAGTTTGGATCTCGGTGTTAGAGATTCTAACGTGAGCACCCCGGGCCCATCTTAAAGCCCAGCTGACATCAGCATGACGCGCGCCATCCCTGGGGCTCTGCAAAAGTAAACTGGGTGATTCAGCCTTTTTAAACACTTGCATCCTTTTGCTGAACCAAAAACCTCGTCCCCTACAGCCCTTCTGATAAGCTTTACCCCTTCTGTTTGTCCCAATCTTAGACAAGTTTACTTTTAAATTTAAATTACTGGATTAGACCTTACATACTGATAACCATTTGCCAACTGGCCCCTTTAAAGAGGCACTGTGTGACTTAGTGCAAAAATTGCAGTCCTGAACTGAAATGTCAAGAAACATAGATTATAGTCCTATCTCAGCTTCAAAATAATTAGGCGCCTTTAATATACCTTTACAGACTTAAAGTCCTTCAACATCATCTTTTAAAAGTGGAGTTGGGGATGAGGTCATCTTAGAAAGAACATCAGTAGAACCCCATTGGATTTGCTGCATGCCATCCCCACTGGGGAGGGAGGTGGTGATTTCTCACCCTCCTTCTCTCTTTCTGGTTCCAGGGATCAAGTGCAACCTGTGGAATAAAACCTAAATAAATAAATAACTATTTTTTAAAGGCTATCAAAGGTACTTTTCATTGTATCCTATAACTGTTTGTAACTTTTCATTGTGAAGACAGTCAATACTTAAGTAATACACAGTCCGCTTTTTTGAGAAAGTCATAAAGTCAGAATTGGGAATATTACTTTAAGGTTAGTGCAATTACTGTAAACATTTACTATATCTATAAGCATAATTCTCATAAATTATCACCAACTGATTCCTATGTTAGGTTTTTTTTTGGGAGGGGTGGGGAGTAGTGTTCTTTGAATTGTTTTTGTTAGAGGGCATGCACACTCTAAGAGAAAGAAAGGAGAAGGCACCCCCCCATGGGGAATGGTCACATCACATCTCCCCTCCTTTCAGGATGTTGGGCACACAGGCACATGTACCTGGTATGTTACTCAAGCCCAGGGTCGGGTACTCAAACCACAAGGTCAAAGTCAGCCATATAGTATGACCGTCTTAACCACCAGGTCATGGAGCTAGCCCTTCTTTTGGGTTTTTTTCTTAAAGTTTATTTATTTATTTCTTCCATAAGAGAACGAGACAGACAAGTTCTCCCAGCAGAACATCCTCACCACTCCAGCTCCAGTGTCCGCAGGCCTGGATCACAGGCACTTACATACATGCCTGCTGTGCTCAGGAAGGTCCCAGATGCAAGCCAGATGCAAACCTCACACGGGTCCAGTGGTGCTATCACTGCACCACCACCTGGCCCTGATCTCTATATTATATAAGAGATTTCTTGCATAATAGCAAAAATAGTATTAAAAAAAAAAGCTACACTTTGTAAGTTAGAAAAAGCACAAATAAGACCTTTGTTTATTTCTTAAATTGGTGTAATGGCTATGTCACTGGACTTCCATGTAGTCAATTGCAGTTCGAGTCCCGGCCCCGGGGGCTTAACCTCATGCCAGGTGTGTGTGCATGCATGCCTAAGATCCCGAGAGGAGAAAGGAGAAGGGATTGCAGTGTGGCCATCCCTGGGGGGTGATTTCTCGCTTTCTGTCTCTCTGTCTCTTTCTGTCTTTCTGGCAAGCGCACATGCCCTATAGCAAAAACCTCTCATAAATAAATAAATAAATAAATAAAGGCTCCTTGAGTACAGAACATTTTACTTTTGGCTTCAGTCTCCTCTTCGGATTGCAATAGATATAATTCTCTCAGTTATATATATAAGATAAATTATTTTGTACTTCATTTCAGCAGACTAATTTTGCTACATCCTGAAAAAACCTTTGTTAAATGAAGGCAGATTGGAAAAAAAGATACATGCTCATTTTTTAAAAAAGTAGATCAGACAGTAAGGGTTACAGCAATCTTCATTGCAGTTTCTCCAGAACATGAAGAGTTAATGAGACACATACTACTAATACAGCACTAATTGTCACCTTACAGAAAGAAATAAAAGGAAATGAGCTTTTAGGGCTTTGCATCTGACAGCATTTTTATTGTTCGTTTTTAATCTTCCTAAAAAATACAAACTAATAGCATGTAAAAGTAATTGTAGAATCTATTTCCAAAATATTGTTAAGTAAACAGCCACGATAAAAAAAAAAGACAGATAGATACTCAATTACCTAATTGTCTAAAATGTCTTAGGAGTATTTCTCCCTAAATATGGAAAAGAATGCAGGCAGTCTCATTAAGCACTGAGATCAACCTAAAACATTGAACAATTCTGGGCATTAATGTATTTAGAATAAAAAAAAAAGATAATTTTAGAATCAGGTAAAAAAGGCATTTTCAATTTTAAAATAAAATTATTATCCTGATAAATGATCAGAATCATAAAGACTCCGTACAGAGTAGATAAATTTGAAAAGGTACCAAATAGAACTTCTAACAATTGCTTCAGAGAATTTGGCCAAAGATTTGAAGAGTCCCATTTCTTTGCCAAGTTTCAAATTACTGAATAGGTTCATTTTGTAAAATAGTAAGCAAAAAGTTCAAAATACAGGGAGACAGATACCAGTCACAGAAGTTTTTCAATGAAGTCTGTTTATTTTAAAGGAGTTGAGAAACATCAGACAAGAAGACATGTGTGGAGGGCTGAGTGCTTTAAAAATGATCTAGTGAAGGCAGCAAGTGGTGTGGTGGTTGAGGCAATGGATTCCCACATGGTCGACCATGGTTCGAGTCCCTGACCCAGCAGCTCGCTTTCTCATTTTCTGTCTCTCTTTCTCTCTCTGGTGAACTAAAAATAATAATAAATAAAATTAAATTTTTTTTTTTAATTTTCTCTTCATTGTTTTACATAAGACAGGATGGTTTCCTCTCTTATGTAAGATAATTAACATGAAATTCCAACCGTTTTTTATTTTTTAAAGAATTTTAAATTTTATTTGTTATTATTTTTTGAGAGGTGTTTTTTTTTTGTTTTTTGTTTTTTGGTTTTTTTTGCTATAGGGCACGTGCACTCGCCAGAAAGACAGAGAGAGAGAGAGAGACAAAAACCGAGAAATCACCCCCTCGGGGGGATGGCCATGGCGCAATCCCTTCTCCTCCATTCTCCTCTCGGGATCTTGAGCACACATGTACACGCATCTGGTGTGAGTTTAAGCCACCAGGTTTGGGACTTGAACCGTGGTCGACTACATGGGATTCCAGCGACATAGCCATTACACCAACTGCTGGTCCCATTATTATTTATTTTTTAATTTGACTGGAAAGAGACAAAGAGAGAGAGAAGAGAAAGTGAGAAGGCAAGCTTCCAGGTCTGGGACTTGAACCACAGTTGGTCATGTGGGAGTCCAGCATCATAATCACCACACCATGTTTTGGCCCTCTCTCTTCTTTATTTGGACCATTTAGAGGGAGTCTCCCTCTATTTGCTACTAACAAAGGTATAACAAAATAAGCATGCAAAAAGTTATATATGAAATATAAAGACTGAAGAACCTATATGAGTGTGAATTGGTCCAAAAACTTTGGGAAACAATTTGACACTATCTACAAAAGCTGAAAAAAAAATTTTTTTCTATAAAACAAGAATTCACTCCAGGGACAAGAGAGAGAGAGGAAGGGAAAGTGAGAAAGCAAGCCACCAGATCCAGGACTGGAACTGGGTTCAGCCATGTGGGAGTTCAGTGCCTTTAACCACCACACCACCTGCCAGCCCCTTGATTTTTTTTTTTAATTTTTCCAGAGGATATATGTGCATGCCAGAGACAGACAGAAAAGAGGAAAGTGAGAAAAAAGTCCCCTATAGAAAATGGTCACACCACAATCCCTTTTAGGCACATGTGCACATGTACCTGGCATGTTTTCAAGCCACTTGTTCCATAACTCAAACCATGCAGTCAGTCATGTAGGATCCAGCTGCCTAAACGACCATACTACTGGCTGACCCAACATGATATTACTTATAGGGAATTCTCAAGACCCCACCAAGAAACCGTTAGAACTAATAAGCAAATTCAACACAGTTGCAGAATATAAAATCAACCTACAAAAATCAGCAGCATTTCTATATACTAACAATGAACTACCTTAAAGAGATCCCATTTTATAATAGTATCAAGACTAATAAAATACTTAAGCATAAATTTAACAAAGGAAGTAAAGTATCTGTATACTGAAAATTATAAAATTGATGAGGAAACTGAAAAAGACACAAACAAATACAAAGATACCCATGTTCATGGATGAGAAGAATCGGTATTCACAAAATGTCCAGATGACCTGCTATGGTTTCTATGCATTCGCCCAAATTTCATGTGTTGGAAATTTAATTACCAACCCATGTACCAATATTAAGAGATGGGACCTTTAAAATGTTACAGGGTCATAGAGCTAGAACCCTCATTATCACAATAGTGAGTTATTTCTCACAATAGCAGGTTGTTATGCAGTCCTTTTCACATGCTCAGTTACCCTTCCACTTTTCCATCACATTATGATACAGTATGAAAGTTCC